TTTTGCCCCTTTGCAATCCATAGCAAGGACCTGATGTGTCCAGCCTTTGAAACAAAATAATATAAGTAATTAATTACGAATGAAGGTTGGTTATGTCAACTATCTCTTACCCCATGATTGGACTCCTAGAATAAATATTTTATGCAAATCTTGATCTGGGGAACTTGCATTAGATTTAAAAAATGAATGGAGGATGTCCCTCATAGTTATAGATAAGTCAAGTGAGTCCGAAAAAATTTTTTTACGATGTGGTTCCGGGAGACCACCACTTCGAGGCCTGTAATCGCTTATACTGTGCTTAATGTTCCCCGAAAGTCACATTCGAGCACGGAGTGTGATTGAACAACCTTCGTTACGTCGTTGAGCCGAAGCCCAGGAATAAATCTCCCTCTTAAAGAAATACGTATATGTTATATGAAAATATTGGTGAATGAAAAGTCATCACCTGTTATAATTTCTTCAACTTACAAGTCCATTTTCAGTTCGATCTTGTCAAGAAAATCTTCTTGTGAGCATGTTTGTTGTTTGTAAATGAATTGTCATAAGCAGACTCCGGAATCGTTAGATCAACATCGGCCAAGTTCTCGGCATTGTGAAAAAATGACCAAAAAGAAATTCAAACCGTAAAGAATTTAAAAGTCCATACTGTATTTCACTTACTATATTAAGACCGCTCTTTTGACTTCAATCATATAGGCTTTATCTTGTTCACTGGGTGTGATCTAGAGATTGGAAACCGGTTATAACAATATCGGTTTTGACTAACCGGTTTTGAATAAATCCGGTTCCAAATTTTAGAGAAACGCAAAACCGGTTGCTATATAAAACGAATGCAACCGGTAGGAAGATCCGGTTTTCGATTTACCAAAACTAATTTAAGGTTATAAAAATATCCATTTGTAGTTTCTCGAACTAGATTTTCCCATATATTCACTCTTTCTTTTTGCACTCTTTTTTGTGCATGTTTTACTTTTCATTATGGCGAACCTATCTACTTCTTAAGAAACAGAAACTATTACAGATCTTACAACTACTGATACCACAAGCACAGAAATTATTACAAAGAAACGAATAATAGAATTTCGTTCATCCTTAATTAGAACCAGCCATAGTCATACAGCATTTTTCTTTCGGATCGCAAAAGAAAATTCTAACATTGTTTATTGCAAATTTTAAATTTTGTGAAACTAATTTTGCAGGAACAATAAATTTGTATTTAAACAAAGAAAAATTTGGATTAAATAATAATCCATTAAAATGATGGGAAGTTACATCAGTTTTCTAGTGAACGATTATTCTCAGACGCAGGTAATCACATATCTGCTAAATGAACTTGACTCTCTCCAGACATGGTGAATGTAAATAAGATGCTATTCTTGAAAAGAAATAGTGTTCATTTTGATATATTTCTTCCGTTAGAATAATTAAATTGTAATAGAAATGATATTTTTATTTTTTATAAAAAATTTATAAATATCTAAAATTGTAAAATAAAAATTGAATCATTTCTTTAAACCAGTTTCGATTCGAGCCAAGCACTCGAATTGATCTAGTCATTTTTTGAAAAACTGGTTTTCAAAAATAAACCAGTTCCAACTTCTATCTCGAAGTACTAAGTGGATTCTTAGCACCTGTATTTATTCGCTTTCTATTCAGATAGCATAAGCTAAGAATTTCTATAAAGTATAAGATTGTACAAGTCAGACCAATAAAAATTGGCTACATTAAATGTAAAAAATACTATTTTCTAAGAAATCTACTGTTTAATTATATCTGACAATTTAAAATGATGCCTATACTAAAACTCAAGACTCACCTGCTATATAGCCATTATTTTCATATTCTGTAAATCTTTAATAATATACCACAGGGCATTTAAACTTTATTTATTATATACAGTCAGACCTCCATAGAGTCACATCCTATATAAGCACACCTCTTTAAATGCACCTATTTTTATAAAACGGATTTATAAAAAAATAAATTTACCTCATTATAACTTCTGATTGGTGGCATCGTCCCTAATTAGAAATCATCAACGCGTTTATAATGTCATAACACGCGATCACAACTCTAATTCTACAACTTCGAATTTATGTTACTTAAATAAAACTTTTTTTTTATAGCAAAAACGGAACTTTTTTTTATAGGACTAACTCATAATTTAATTATTATGGTACCTATCTGACGTTCAGCAATCAATGATGAGATCAGGTGTCAAATTTGCAAGTGGATGAAAGCAAATGAAAATAAAAGGCATTAAGATATTGCCAATTATTTTAATGAAAAATATTCAAACTTGAAGGTAAACTAAAGTACCATATCAAAAATTTTGTCGCAATGTGACAAATGGAAGGCTGTAATAAATTCTGAAGCTTTGAATCAAATATTTAGATATAAAACAGTCAAATATCTATTATTTTATCATGTCATGAAATTGTGAGTGGAGAATATAATATCTAATGGTGTTATTTTATCAGATTTAAATCAAAAAAAAAAGTTAGAGTTTTTGCTGAACCATTTGATATTTAGAAAACTGATTTGTTTTTCTAACGACTGGTTACAAAATTTAAAAAATATAATAATCTTTATAGGTTTCATATATATATAGAATCAGAAAGTGCACTATTGGCATCTTTTTCAGAAGAAAAAGTGAAACTATGCTAACTATTGAGTTGATTTCCCTAATCAAATTTATAATATAGATAAAATAAGGTTTTATTTCTGAATAGTCCTGAATCAAACACTTTCAACAAATCTAGTTTATGAATAAAAAAAGGATAGGACTCAATTATAGTTCTTCTCAATATTAATGCCATAGGAACTAAAAAACTCAAAGGTTAATTTAGAACATATTTTAGTCTATTACTATAAAAGCTCAAAAGCATTAATGAATTCAATCATATTTGAAGAGATACTTTTAGAATGAATAGGAATTTTAGAATACAAAATAAAAAGATCTTACTCTTAGTTAATTATACTCTTACACATTTTGATCTATATTATTTACCACCTTTAAAGGTTGATCAAGATGAAAATAATATAGATGAAAAGATATCTGCATCAGCATTTTTATTATGAGAATTACAAAATCACAAAAATTATGAAGTAAATTATAAAGTAAATTTTTTAATTAACCTTTTTGTTAATTTTTTATATTAAAAGAACTATTTATTACTAAAATCACAATCCACAAATTTTGAAATCAGTTTCCTTAAGATAAATAAAATAAAAATGTTAAGATAATTAAAAAGAAAGCTAATAAAAATAATTACCTTTTTTTAATAGGAAAATCTGTTTTCTTTTTCTCTCTTTTATAAAAGGAAATTGAATTTAAGAGGTTATGATAATATATTAAAAGGATTCTAATCTAATATTATTTAATTTCAACTAACTCATATTGAAATAGCCTTCTTATTTTCTAATATAACAAGTTATCTTTAACCGCTTAATACTGAAATTATTGCAAGTTTTAATCATCATTACAAGAGATATTATTATCATCATATGTTGAACTCTTTAAAGATGACAAAGACATTAATAAAGAGAAGATCACTATCAAAGAAGTTATGTGAAGATGTGTAATTGAAGAGACAATTCATAAATGCTAAAAAAAACTGAAATCTTATTCACTTTAACCAATAAATACATAGCTAACGTGTTACAAATTTAACAAGAAAATATAAATCAAGAAGTAGTAGATGTAGATCAATAATTGAAGAACTTAATATGGTTAATTTTTGTACTGCTTCATTAGTAAATAAATTAAAGGATTTTTTTCATGATTTGCAAAAAAGAAATTCTAACTGAAGCTATTCTAAATAAATCTGATATAATAAATCTAGTTTAGAAAGAAGTATATAACAAAAATGATAAATATAATGATTCTGAAAAAAAATTAATTTAAGTATCTTTAATCTTTCTAGCAATTAACCTATATATATAAAATTTTTTAATAAAATAGAAATCATATAAAAGTAAAATTTTTTATGAAATAGTAAAGTAGTTGATTCTAAAAGGATGTATTTAAAGAGATTTAACTATATATATTTTAGAATCATATTAGATTAATAAATCATATTAAATTGTATTTATAAGAAATGCAATTTTTATAAAAATTTTTTATTTTAGATTAATATAAAAATTAATAAAAATAAGAAACTTACTAATTACTAAAATCCTTTTAATTAGTTTATTTTTTCTTTTTTTAAACTAATAATTTGCTCTGATTTTATTTGAAAAGCCAGAATTTTCACTTCTTTAAATATTATAATAAAAATTATAATAAACATTTTGAAATATTTTTTAGATAGTTTGTAAAAGAAACCAGTAAATTTCACTTATGATGATTTTGATTCAGAAAATCTACCTTCTTGATTATTTTTATAATAAGAATATTAAATATAAAAGGATGAAAACGTAGGTCACGATTAATAAAAATTAAAAAATTTGTCATTGTTGTTTTAAATACGATTATATTAACGCTAGCACATATACATAAAATTTACATTCTTATTGAATGAAATGAACAATTTCTTTTCATAGATAGAAGTTTATAGTACAATTTGATACTAATGAAACCCTTTACAATACTATGTATAATCTTTCGTGATATTCCAAGTATAAACTTTACTTATAATACTAATTAATGTTTCTAAAAACTTTATTTGTTAAAAAAAAAATTTTTTTTTAAAAAAAAAACAAACATAAAGGAATAAAATAATTGTCGAAATAGAAAGAAAACTTGCTAGAATGTTGCTAATCATATTTACAATTTGAAACGATCAATATTATTTCACTTACGATTAAGTATTTCGATAAACATAAAGTAAATGAAACAAAGACAAGAAAAACCATAAAAGAAATTATGAGTACGCCATTCTGATGTTCTTAATATGGTAGAATCATGATTTACAACCTAATATTTGGGAAAGAAAATGATGATTAATAAAAACACATCTCACCAAATAAAACTCACTCCACCAAATCTTAAATAATACTTACGCGGTACCACGTTCAAAATTTTCTTTAATTTCTTTAGTATATTTATCATAAAATCTACCAATTTTTTCATTAAATCTTCTATTGCGCTCATTGATATAAGTAATGTCGTCATCTTCATTAACAGGTTTTTGCCTAGATGATTTCTCACGCTTAGCAATTGTCTTGTTAACATCCGCAACAACTCTATCAATAGCTTCACGAGTTGGTTGATTATCTACGCTAGCATACTGTAACGAATTTGCATCTCGATAAAAATTCGATTCCGTATCTACTGAGACGATTTGACCATCTTCTGTTGTGACTAAACTTGATGATGCCACTGCCGCTGCTTTTTGTTCCTTATATGTTACTAGATCTGGCTTTAATTCATTAATTTGTCTCTTATATTTCTTATGTGCTACTTGATTATAATCTAATAGAGAGCGATATATATAATTTTAATTAATAAAAGAGTTTTTTTATTTAAAAAAAAAACAAAAACTATATATACAAATTAATTTTGCTTACCAGTAAATGCAACATCCGATTTTTTTGCTTTCTTTTCTTGTTTCTTTTCCCATTTTTCAACCGACTCGGCAGAATATTCCCAGAATTTTGACCTTTCATAATCCTCTCCTCTCTCTTCAGCTTGCTATATATATATACAAAAAGTATTAATTAGTATATTATATTCTGATACATATGTCAAAATTGATCTAACATTACTTGTTTAGCCAACAATTTTTCAGCTTCTTCCCGTTTTCTTTCTTGTTTGATAATCTCTTTAGGATTAGTTTTCTTACGTTGATGCTCTTCAAAAACCTCTTTGCGATTAGCAGTTTCTCCTTCATCCTATAAATAAAATTCAATTAAGCCCGCCGAACGGATTATTTATCAACTAAAAAAAATATATTAACGCACCATTCGACTTCGAAGTTTTTTAAATTTTTCCATTCTAGCTCTAACTTCCTCAATTTGAGATGATTTATTTTGTACATTTATCTCATCTTCAATATCATTATTATCTATAGAACGTTTTCTCTTAATACTTTGTTCATTATTAACGGTCAAATCCTTATTGTGTGTATCTTCCATTGTAACATCCTGTTCTTGTACTTGTAATTCTTGAACTTGATGAATATCATAACTATTCTCTGAAGCATCAAAAATTTTAACATCACCCCTATCAATTGAGTGTGGATTTATAGAATCAGAAAGGTTTTTCCGTTCTTGTTGCTCAGAATTTTCATATTCATTTAATACAACAGATGAATTTTTTGGACCTGTACTTGTTTTTTCCGAAGGCTCAACTTTTATTTGTGATTCAGTTACATGAGATTCTATCACAGGACTAGGTACCAAATCCTCCATTTTTATAACAGCTTCTTCGTTATTAGATAGTTTCTCAACCCCAGTCGAGTCTGGTTTTGTTTTCTTCGGTCTACCCCTCTTAGTAGCCTTAGCAGGTGGTTGTTGCTCATATTGTTCCGGAACCTGTCCAGAAGCTGATTCCATTTGCGAAGTAGAAACAACGGCAGCATCTTGCTTTTTAGTCCTCCTCTTTTTAGGAGGGTTGGCTGCCTTAGCCAATTGATCAACTTCCTCTTCATGTCGATGTTGTGAACTTATTTGTTCTTGAGATGACGAATTTGCAACAATATCTGATACTTGATTTAATTCAGCTGAAGCTTCTTGTTTTTTTGATTTTCTCTTTCTAGTCGGAGCCACTTTTGTCTCAGCACTAACAGCCTGTGGATCAGCTTCAAGAGATTTGACTTTTTTAGGTCGCCCTCGCTTACTGTGTGTAGCAGCAGGAAGAGGAGTGGGAATTGGAGCGATTGCTGGTTGAACATCAGGAGACGATGCGACAGGGGGAGAAGTATTATAATTATTACTATTCTGTGATTCGGATTGTATCCCACTTTTAAAACCGTGAGGAGGAAAGCTATTCTCATCTAAATTTATGAGGTTTCTTATAGCTGCTGGTGACGATGATGATGATGATGACGACGGATTTGTAGCTGGTGTCGGTTGAATATTTACAATATTCTTTTCTGGTGGTGGTTGTTGGTTTTGTTGGTCCGCTTCCTGTTTCTTTACTTTAGGCTTCCTTCCAGGTTTTTTCTTGACCGGTTCTTCAGGAGTTGCATTAATAAATAATAGATGTTGCTGAGGAACAGTGGAAGGAGCGGTAGTCGTAATAAATTGTTGTTGCTGTTGTTCTAAAGGTTCCTCCTTTACGGTAACAACTTCTTGTTGTTTAGCTTTAGATTTTCTTCCAGGTTTTTTTTTTACGGGAATTGTTGCTTCTTGTAGCTGAGTATCAGCCGATATAGTAGTAGAACTATTAGGTTCTATAATACTAGTAGAACCCTCTTGTGAAACGAGATCTTTCTTTTTAGTGGTCCTAGGTTTCCTTGTAGCCTTTTTCTTTGGTGGTGGTTCTTCTTGGGAAGGAGCAGTAGCCGACGTAGCGTCTTCAACATTACTCTCGGGTTGAATTTGATTAGATTTTGAAGCTGTATTTTTCTTTTTAGGCGGCATATTTTAGAACTAAACGTTTTATTTATAGAGTGTGAAAGAAAAATGAAAGTTTATAACGGGTTAAAAATAATGTTTTTTTTTTTATATTGGAAAAAAAAAAAAAAAAAAATAATTACCGTAAGTTAATCGCGCGATTCATTAATCACGTGAAGATAATTTTTTTTTTTTTTTTTTTTTGCTCCCAAAAAAATCAGTCCTTACAAAGAATAACATGTCGACCCCAAAAGAGAAAACCTTTGAATCACTGGTAAGTTATTTCACTAGTTTGCTATAGGTTGAATTGTCTGTATGTTCTAATAAAAAGGATAGGGCATTATTGAACCTTTATGTAAAGCGTGTGAACAATGCAAGTATAAAACACCTACGGAAATACAAGCAGAAGCTATCCCTTGGGCATTACAAGGAAGGGATGTAATTGGACTGGCACAAACTGGATCAGGTAAAACAGCAGCATTCGCTTTACCTATCTTGCAAGCATTATGGGAAGCACCACAAGGATTATTTGCTTGTATATTAGCACCAACCAGGTAATTAATAAACTTTTTTACTTTAGAGGAAGGTGGTTAATTGAGATGTGACGTTAATTACTTGATTATCAGGGAACTGGCGTTTCAAATATCAGAAATGTTTGAATCTTTGGGATCTGTAATAGGGGTTCGATGTGCAGTTATAATCGGTGGCATGGATATGATGTCGCAAGCAATTGCTTTGTCTAAAAAACCACATATCATTATAGCTACACCTGGAAGACTTCAGGATCACTTAGAAAATACAAAAGGATTTAGTTTAAAAAATTTAAAATATTTGGTAAACAAATTGAAAAAAAAATTCGTTTATTGTTACTGCTTAAAAAAAAAAATCTTATGGAATTATCAATATATAGGTTATGGATGAAGCTGATAAATTGTTGGATATGGATTTTGGTCCAATAATTGACAAGTTATTAAAGGTTATTCCTAAAGAGAGACATACATTTCTTTTTTCGGCTACCATGACTACGAAAGTAGCAAAGTTACAAAGAGCTTCATTAATGAATCCAGTAAAGATCGAAGTTTCCTCAAAGTAGGTTCGACGAATTTTCATTACGAATAATACTTCCCATTATAGGCTTTAACATTCCTTTGAACTTTTTCTTACTAAGATACTCTACGGTGTCCACGTTACTCCAATATTATTTATTTTTTCCATTCAAACATAAAGATTGTTATCTTGTTTATTTATGTAACGAATTGGCTGGTAATTCATTGATCATATTTACCAGAACATGTAATGATACACAAAGACTGGCATTGTTGTTACGTAATATGGGATTTCCCGCGATTCCATTACATGGACAATTATCACAGGCAAAAAGATTGGGTTCTTTGAATAAATTTAAAGCAGGAAGTCGAAATATTTTGGTAGCCACAGATGTTGCGTCAAGGTGCGTAATATTTATCTTGAGAGTTACTTTTTTTTTTTTGCTGAAACTAACATCCATTCATTTTTTTTTTCGTTAGAGGGCTTGATATACCTCTGGTGGATGTAGTGATTAATTTTGATATACCAGCAAATAGTAAAGATTATATACATAGAGTTGGAAGAACGGCAAGAGCAGGTAGATCCGGTAAATCCATCACATTAGTAACGCAATATGATGTAGAATTATATCAAAGAATCGAACATGTTATTGGTAAAAAAATGGATGTATTTCCAATTGATAGTAAAGATGATGTGATGTTATTACAAGAAAGGGTTAGCGAAGCTCAAAGAATGGTGACATTGGAAGTGAGAGAACAACAACAACAACAAAAGAAGGGTAGCAAGAGGATTAAAAATGATGATGATTTTAGAGACAAAGAAGATAGAGATATTATTCAATCTAATAAACTTGGTAAGAAGGCAAAGAAGATTAGGAGATAAAAATCATGACAAGAAATGTGATATTTAAAATATGATGTGATAAATTATCGTGAATGAATTGGCAATTAAGCCATTATGTTGCCAAATTCATCAATAAAAAAAAAAGCTAAAATTTTTTTTCCCAACGAAAATACAAAATTTATTTATTTTATTTTTCGAGAAGGAAATTTTTTATCAACATTACCTTATTGGGAAATAAATAACATTAAACAAGTTTTATATTAATAAGTTGCATAGGTTACATAGGTTAATGTCAAATTTGATTTGTTGTGAAAACGAAAAAGTCAGTTTTACTTTTTTAAATTAGATGTTACAACAACTAATATTTTTGCGAAACCAACGCAAAAAGTTGGTTAATAATAATTTTTTTTTTTTTTTTTTTTTTCCGTCAGTTCTAAAAGTCACAAAAAAATAATAAAATAAAATAAAATAATAAAAGTAAGATAAAAAATAAAAAAAACCCCAACCTTTATCAATTATCTCTCACGTACCAAAATTTTTTCCTTTTTTTTTTTTTTTTTTTTTTTTTTCAGAGATAATTCCTTTAAAATATTTAGTTATAACCGTTTAACGAACTATAATCCTTAACTTATTGACACTTGATAATTTTCCTTTTAATTTTCCAAGCAAAAAGTGAAAAAAAAAAAAAATACGGTAAAATTTATTAACCAAGTAATAAAATTCTATTTTTTAACGGATAAAGTTCTGTTAGACATTAATTTTTTCTTGGCTTAAAGTATATGTGATAATAATGAAGCTTTATTGCTTCGTTATTCTCGTAGTATTCATTTCTGGAATATTTACCGTAGGAGGAGGAGAATGGGGAACGAGAGGAATGATAGGAGTCAATTCTTTACCTTTATTACCAAGTACTAATCAAACTGAAGATATTTCTCATTCATCGGCACATTTAGTGAAACGTATAGATCCAGTCGAACATCAATCAAAATCAAGCACCTCTAATCAGGAAGAAAATGATGATGTCGAATCCAAACAACCACCATATCCCACTAGTCATAAGGATGATAACAATAAGGGGAAAGACGATGAGACGGAACAAAACAACAAGAATAATGGTAATGAAACACAGCCCGAACAGTTAATACATCCTGATCAAGCTAAGGAAAATGAAGACACCGCCAAACAAGTGAAAGAAGAAGCCATGATCATTAGGAAAGTTATCATCGTATTGGGTTCTCTTGGTGCTTCATTATTATTAGTTGCTATTGCTATTGCTGTATTATATTGGAAAGTCAGAAGGCAGCAAAAATTAGTTAAAATTGTTAAATCTTCTTCTTTTACACTTTCAAAAGGAGGGGAAGACCTTGATATAAGTAATATGAATGGGAATAACGTTATTGATAATAACAATAATAACAATAATAACAATAATAACAATAACAATAATTATAGTTATAATAATAATAATAATAATCATCATCATAATAATAATTATAACGAAGGTGGGAATGGAAGTGGAAAGAGGGATAATGGAGGTGGTGTAGGTAACGGAGAAGCGAGTATGAATGATGCATTTGCTTCCGAAAAATCAAGTATGGGGAATAATTCTAATTCGACAAATGTTATGGATAACGAAGTTGGTGGTGTCAATTTTCGGGTTGTCGGTAACAATGAGATGAATCATGAAACTTCGGATTCTGTGCAATACCATCACCCACCCGTACAACTTAGTTCCATACGGCAATTAACGCCTCCCGTGCAACCATCTGCTCCGCCTGCCGAAAAAGTGGGAGATACCGATTCAGACATTCAAATCGATAATGTTACATTTTCCACTCCAATTTTAACAGCTCCTCCGGCTTATTCGCCCACCGCTCCTCCAATATACGCTTTACCACATATTCCAATCCCCGAATTCGATGGTTCTGTTAGAGATATGATTTTATATATGGACGGGAATAATAATTACCAATTAGCTCAACAGCAAAATTTACAAAATTCTGATTCGAGAAATATTAATCATAATAATAATGGAACTTTTATAAGTTTACATTCTTCTGTCTCTTTACCTCCTCTTAATACTGGTGTTTGGTACGCTGCTGGTCCAACGTCGCAAACAAATACCCCTATTGATGTTACTCCTCATCAACAATCAAATCATCCCATAATAATACAATCCATTCATTCCCCCTCGAACTTAAATTCGCAGAATTCTACATCGAATTTACATTCATTTTCGGATTCAATTGAGAATAATGAAAATAATAGTCCCACACATCAAAGACATGATCCATCGATAATATAAAAATCTCATTAAGTTTTTCGAGTGTTAAAAACAATTTTTTTTTTGCTTTTCCTTTTCCTTGGCATTATTATTTTTATTATTTGCATTTTTTTCCCAATATTCTGTTAAAAAATTTTGTAGATATTTTATTTTCATTATTTCTTTTGTACTACAACATTTTTCTTAAGGGTAGGGTTTAATATAAATATATTTTTTTTCTAATGTGAACTTATTTTGTAGAGATGGGAAGTGTGGTAAAGATGGGATCATCATCATCATCATCATCATTTATTTTCTGTAAGTAACTTTTTAAATTTTTTCTTTTTTAAAGATAGAAGTTAAAAGGATTTATTTTTGAAATCCCTAATTTATTTTATTTTCTTTTCGAAAGTGAATTTTAAATTGCATTTTTTTTTTTTTTTTTTGATTTTTTTTGATTTTGATTTTTTTCCTTGTATATAGATTTTTTTTTTTTTTAATTTTTTTTTTTTAAAAAAACAAAAAAAATTTAAAAATTTTATGCATTTAATCAAATTAATTTGCATTTACTTGATATGCTTATAATAAAAAAAAAAAAGTTAATTTATTACATGAATTTGATATGGAATTTATTATAAAATCTTATTAATTTATTCATCCATATATCAAGTAAATAAATAATATATTATAAATAAATCAGATGTTTAATCATTAAATGAATGAAGGGATTTCTTACTCATTATATAAATTCAATTACTATCATAACAGCTCTCTTTTATAATTTTGTTCATTTCTTACTATACATGAAAATTAAGATTTTGAGTTGCTAGTTCCAGAACGATTACCACTACTTGAACCTCTTGATGATGATCCTTTTGATCCAGAAGGTTCCGTTCTTGGTCCTTTAACCGTTGTACCTGACGTTCCTGCAGGTGCTTTAATAACATTTCCCAATCCTATAACAGTCCAGAAAGATAAAGATTTTGTGATTTCATTACTTTCATCTGCAGAAATTTCATCGCTTGCAACAGCTTTTGAAGAATTGGTTTCTTCTGATGATTTTTCTTCTGTTGTGACACCATCATTCTCATTATTTTCAGTGTTTTTATTAGTATATTTAACCAAAAGGGGAAACTACAAAGTTGAAAAAAAAAGTAAATATATATATATTTTTTTTCGGATTATTATTATTATTATTATTATTTGATAATTAAACATACTTTGAATTCTTCAACTTCGGCTAATGGAGTGATTTCAAATATGATACTTGTAGAATTACCACGCTTTTCATAAATACCAATATCAGCTTTTGCAGCACGCCTTGATGAAATTAAATCCTCTTCATATTCCAATACTTCATTATATGGTGTAATATTAAAATGTGGCGCAAGGATCGTAACTTTTCCACATTCATTAGTTTCCTCTTGTATAGTTAAATCAACCGAAATTTCTTCATATAATGGATTTGAAAATTTCAAAACAATTTGTGTACGTTGATTAAGGATAAGTTTTGGTAAACTTGCTATGGTAATCTTTGGAATGTTTTTCCTGAAATTAGGAAGAACATTTTAAATTAACCTCAAGATCAGAATTAATAAATTTCAACTCCAATTCTTACAATGCAACAAGTTTAATCTTGAATCGTGTCGCTTGAGCCTTTTGCTCTGGTTTAATGAGAATATGACGACACGAACGACATCTCTTTACACGCTTTGTGCGAAGATGGATTCGTTGTGGTTGAAGACGCCTAAAAAATCAAACGCGCCAACTTTAATAATAGTCATTATATGAAGTAAAGTAACTTCACAACATTCAATAAGAATTCACCCACTCCACTTTGTAAGGTTGATCACTAAGTTGATTCATTCTTTGAGTTAATGTAGTAACTATAATCGAAATTAAAAAAAAAATTTAATTTGATTGATTTTTTTTGAAGTAAAATAAAAAAAATATATATATATATATTTTTTTTAAAAAAAAAAAATAGAAAAATACTTTGGTTTACGTCTGTTAAATGAACCAAGTCATCAACCAATCCACTTTCAGGTTCAACTTTATCGACGGCAGCTTCATACTTTTCAACATCATCCGATTTTTGCTGAGCATGAGCCAATCCGGTGTTACCATACCTACTGCTAAAACTATTCATTGACATTCCTGGAATAGATAATAAAGAAGAGGGTAGGGTTGTAGAAGGTGTGTTATGTCGCAAGTGTTTTTCAAATTGATCTTTAAGATGATCAAATTCTTTAACATCCGGTCTCTCATCCTCAGTCTTTTGAAGTTGTACTGAATAAAGTAAAACAAAATGAGTAAGAAACGGTAATTCCACTTTGAATCAATTCAAATAAAATTTATTTAGATATTACATGCTAGACCAGTTGCCTTTTCAAAAGTCATTCCTATCTCTTGTGAATCCCAACGACAAACACCACATGAAAGATAATACGGTGCTCCGGTGGCTGAAACGGTAGGCACGGTAGGTGAGATAGGTAATGGAGTTGGTTGTGGCTCACTACTAGCTACAACTGAAAGTGTGTTTTGACATATCGGACATTGAAAACAATTACGTGCACACCTATTTCTCTCACTTTTCACACTGGCTGTTGGGACTTCAAATAAACAATTAGGACAGTAATAACAAACTATCTCTTCTTGGACACATCTAGGACATCTGATTTGATGACAATCGTCACAAAAATATAATTTAGATATAGGAAAAGTAGAAAAATGTATTCCAGGTGAATAAATATTAAAGGTCTCTTCTTCCTTCTCTGATTCTATGCTAGTAGTAGGATTATTTACATCAGGACAACCGCAATGATAATGTACATAAGGCCGTATATGCCGCGTCTCTGTTTGTAAAGAATTCATTTTCATATAAAATTATCCTATCTATCTAAAAGTATTAATATCGTTTTGACTTGTGAAAAGAAGTGCGATATGTAAATCATCTATAAATATCCAATCGTTATGATGATCGAATTTTGTAAAAAAAAAAATGCTGATTGGTTGAAGTCGATTGAAGCGATAAGAATTTACGCAGGAATTTATTAAAATTTTTTTTGAATTTTAAATTAACTTGATAATTTGAACAAAATGTATAACACCGATAAAAAAAAAAAAAATTATCAAAATTATGAATCCCATCTTTATAAATTATAATAAATAAAAAAATTAAATGTCAGTCGATTTGCATTCCCAATGAAAGCGTATTACCATTAACGTCATTTCCACAGAACATCATCATCGATTTGTTGCAAGTCTGTGAATTGGACGCCCTGAAACGCTGACCAACTATGTGGTCTTATTGACTGCGTACCTAAAACAGGGTTTGGTCCAGCAGAGTAAGGGCGAACCCAATCCATATTCATGGTAACCTGTATGCCATCAAATGGATTCTTAACAGTTTCCTTAGAACCTGGTTCGCGAGGAAATTCGTCACTTGAAGTACGACCAGGCCACCAAGCGTAAGCGCTGACGGCAGGGCTGAATTTAATTATATACTGATCATCCTGAACATCAATAATGCGAGCTGGGAGATAAAGCTGTGACTCTTCAAGGCCATGGTAACGGAAATGATAGTCTGGGTATGTGACGGGTGCTTCGACAAGATCGCCAACGTGAAGGCATCGATAAGGCCTGATATCCCAACTCGTTTTTCCTTCCGTCCATGGACACCAAGATATATCAGGATTTTTTTTATGTTCAAGTTCTTGGTCTTCTGTGAGGCCAAGGTAATAACCATCACCTTCAGAATCATCATCTTGTCCACCGTCTTCGCCTTTTTCAGTATCTTCATCTTTTTCAATGTCTTCTATTGGGCTGTTTGAGGAAGTCGGAGACCAAGCAACATGCTTTACAGAATCACCATTGACCTCGGTAACTTTAACATCATACCATGACCCGTCCACGTGGATCTATTATAAATCATAGTGTAGATGTTAATATAATATCTCCAAATGTATTAATTCAATTAGGGATTGGAATCGAAACGAATATAAAATCGAGAATCAAATGTTACTAATTTGTGTAAGCTAATCTAATCAAAATTGTGTGGTTTATGACCTCTGATTTTTTAGCATCGGTCTAAATCAAGTGATCAATTCCATTTACAATATTATTACATTTGTGAACATGATTTTATCAGAAAATAATATCGGTTTCAAAACTCGACTCTCAATTTTAGAATCAATTCCCATTCCCAATTTGAATAAAGTTGTCTTGATATAACGCTAAAGCATTCACCTGGATTTTCTCACCAACTTTAGGTTCACAAGTAAAAACCGTCGAGGGTCCCAAAATGCAATAATCAAATTCTGGAAGATCGGCAAAATCATCAAATTGGTCACTCTGTATCGCACGATCTTTAAAGCCAGTTTGCGACTTTGTCTTAAATACAATAGCATTGTCTCCTGATCCCGCGGTCACAATATATCGACCGCCAGCACAAGCTTTAAGCTCCACAATTAAAAGGTTATCACTCCATGCACTTGAACCATTTTCAAAGTTTTCCAAGATAGAAATTGGGATTCCAGTACGAAGCCCACCAAGCATTCGCACGTTCTTTGAGATAAGTTTTTGTTCAATCTGTCCGGTCTGGAGGTAGCGAACATACACCAAGATGTCATTTTTAGGATAGGTGATGTTTTCAATAAGGTTGTTAAAACGTTTCTGATTGTCCTTTTCGTATATGAAAATGCCAAGTTCCGTCGATGTTGGCACCGAGACGATTTGACAGGCAGACATCCAACCAACGCTGTGGGCGGGACTCTCTATTTCTTTAGGAAGGGAGATATCGCTGGTTGTTCGCTGGCATTCAACAATAGTACCGTATCCACAGCTATCGAGAACGACTTGCCTCAATTTGATGGCCAACGAATCTTTACCAAGGAAATTCAAATAATCATGTGGTTTAATGTAGCCTTTATGGAGTGGATCCAATGCTTTTCGCAAGGATGGAATCCATAGTGGTCGAATGTCTTTGAGATTGCGCGTCCCAGTTGAATCGATGTAATATCTGTTACCATACCGGCGGATGTCATCGATGGAACCGAAGTAATCCTCCTTGGTTGCGGTTGGAATATTACTCAGCTCAAAGGTTACCTCGAGTTCGTGAATAAATCGAGCCCATGAAACGTACATATTCTACATTCAAAGATCGAAATATTTTATAAGCATCAGACTTTCAAAAGCAAATTAGTAAAGAATAACTTACCTCGTAAGGGGCAACAGATGATATGGTGAGCTCAGCAGACCTGAAACGGTCCTTCCAAAATGAAATCGCCTCAGGATTATCTCTTGAAAACCCTGCAAAAAAAAAAGGTTCAGTGGAAAGTGTACAACGTTCGAGTTTTTCTTGAAGCTGCTGACAATCGCTTTTAAGCCTTGTCACTAATTCATCAATTGTATTGGCAAGGGCATCTTTCAATTCCGAACTTATGATGTTTGTAGAAGCGGATGTTAAAGTTGATGTAGAGGTAGTTGTTGAAACGATTGTTGATGCGGATACAGTCTGAGCGCGTTGTACGATACTCAAAGCAGTATCTGTGATGTTAAGATGGGTTTCAACGTCCATGATGGACTTTTGGATGTCAGCTAGAATACTGGGGGCTTTATATATTCCAACGACTTTCTTGACCTTTCCAGTGAAAGACTTTTTGTCTTTTATGGTAAGGTCCCCAACACACTTTATATAAACCTTTTCGGTTCGTTCAAGGGTGTCCTTGATACTGACAATATAGGCTTTATCAATACTGGCGGTAACAATGTTATTGAACATAGCTTTGAGCAGTTTTAAAATTTTTTCCAGCTTCGAGAGACTCTCGACAGCCTCTTTATACGCTTCCAATCGCTCAGCAATTTGCTGGCCCAATAAAATGACCCTATCAATAATGCCAACGATGTCGGTCATCGTAGGATACAGCAACGAGAGTATTAAGTGAAACCCGTAGAGCTCATAACTGCGGATCTGGTCTGAAAAGTATTTTATGGGGGCATAATAGAAAAAGAATGCTGTTTTTCTATTAGGTCGTACTAACTTACTATTCTGTGCATCGGCTAAAATATTTTCCGTATAATGCATATTTTTGGCAAAGAAATATAACATGTGATAAATAATATCACGTGGCGTTAAATTTTTTTTTTAATAACAATAGCGTGCCAACAACTGAAATTGAAAGTCTTTCGACAAAAAATTTAATACAAAAACATAATTGAGAATAAAACTGTAAATAAAAGCAATAAAGCTCTTGCATTTTTTTGATAAATAACTATAGCAATGTGAAAGGCAAGGGGGACTCTCCTGGTGATGCATATTTTCAGATAGCTGGTTCATACGGAAGGTATCTGATTAATATAGATGATTATAAAAGATACCGCAATCCTTGTTTTCTTCTGCACTTACATGGATCTTGGCTTGGAATTTCAGGAGCTGTATTTGGAAAAAAGATTATAGTCGAATTTCTAACACATACAATGTGACACTTAAAGAATTCAATTTGATAATTTTTAAAAAGTAATAAAAAATAATATAAAAATAATACCAAAAAAAGAAAGCCACAATTATAATGCTACTACAAATTACCGGTCTTCTTTTTTGAAAATAATTACTTGTTTCTGACTTATATCGATTTAAAAATGCCTTCTTTTCATATGATCAGCATTCAGTGATACAAGCACGTGACTTGAAATTGGCCAATCATATCACTCTCAAATTGCACATGCAATACTATTGGTTAAAAAATCAATATAATCAGATATTCAGGATGGGAAAAATATTCATCCATTATTAAAAATATCACAGAAAAAACAAAATTTTATCTGACTTTAAGAATACAATAAGAGGAGACGATTTTCCCTTATTGAAACTGAGACTAGTAAAAGAAATACAGAATCTATTGAGAGAGAAGGTAAAGAAATTGAGAAGGAAAAGTAAATACAAATGTGTCTACTTGCAGCAGAATTCATATAGATCAAATCTAAAAAAATAAAAGAATAATAAAAGGAATACCAAAAACTACTTATTATCATAAGTTTAGTACTTCCAGTGCACTTACCAATGCTTCTAAAAAAACACCTAAGATTACTGTTTTTAGGGTAGCGGTAGATTCATTGGTTGGTTCTTCTGTATTATCCAAATTTTTAGCATTTTTAAATAGGTGTATTAGTAAGTTTGCTGTCAGTTTTTCAGCTTTGTCTTTGTTTCTATCTTTACCTTTTTCTTCTTTTCTATCTTCACCTTTATTTCCTTTTCTATTACCTTCTCAATTACCTTCTCTTTGTTTCTGGTAGAATCATTTCTATTTCTTCTTCTTCATATCTTGCTATTTGTTGTTCAAATCCTTTTATTACTTTTAAAAATTCTTTTTAATATACAATAACATCTTCTCATTCATATTTGTTAAGATAAATGCCTTTTTAATATCTTCAAATTTATATTCTAAAATATGCAACCATCTTTCAACAGTTCTTATGCTAATTGTTTTCTGGATTTTTATATGTTCAGGTAAAATAAAATCTTCAATATATTGTTTAAAGTGAGTTACATCAATGCCATTTGAATCTGATTTTTATTATAACCATTGTTACAAGCTCAATGCAACATCTTTATCATCAATAAGTCAATTATATTTTTAGTATTTACCATAACATAAAACTGAAAATGATTGGTGATTTAAGTAAAATTTGGTCAAAGAATAAATCCATTTAGCAGTATATAGTTTTGAAATAATAAAAACAATATATGAGGTCTTTGCAATAGAAAGGGAGGAAACTCCAAAAAAATTAAAATTTTAGTTTATAAGCCAAAAATGTTTCAAATACT